GTGCACGCTCGAACGCGTGCACCGTTGCAGAAATGTGCTGGATGGGTAGGTCAATATCAATACAGGGCAACTCTTACATACATACCTCGACATCGCCGGGAAAGAGATCCCGGTGGTCGCGCAGCAGCATCTGCACGCCGAGGGCCTGCGCGTCGTGCATAGTATACTTGGTGGCCGAATCGAAGGCCTTAAGAAGGTTCATGAGCTCGGAACCGTTGTCATCAGATGCGAAGTTGTCGCCATCGACCTCGCAGGCAACCGCGAGGGCGTACAGACCAGACAGGGCAAGCGGGCGGGAGAGGCGAGAGCGAACGGGCGGGCAAGTGAGCTGGCAGGAGGGTGAGGGTGCAAGCGGGCAAGACAGGCGACGGGCAAGACAGGCGACGGGAAAGAGCGGGTGGACGAGCGAGCTAGTGAGAAACCAAGCGCGTGAGCTAACAAGAGGAGCGAGAGGACAAGAAAGAGCGGGCGAGCAAGAGCGGGAGGGTGGGCAAGCCAGCGGAGGTGAGAGTGGGCAGCTACCGAGGGTGGGGATAGGGCCGCAGACGAGACGCGTGAGAGCGGGCAGTGAGAGCGGGCGCGAGAGGGCAGGCGGGCGGACGGGCGCGAGAGAGCAGGACGGACACTGCGCGGACTGCTGGTAGACTCGATGGTTCGTCGACACACCTACCCAAGTAAAATACCTTATTGTAGAGTGATACGGAGTGTGCGCGAGCAGACGGGTGAGCTAGGGAGAGAGCGTGCTACCGAGTCGGCGAGCGAGCAGGCGGGTGGGCAAGAGGAGGAGACGAGTGGGAGAACGAGCAGTAGACAGCCTACAGGAAAGCTGGCGGTCGAGAACGGTGAGTGGCCGAGAACGGCGAGAGCGCTAGACAGGCGGGTCCCAGTGGGCGAGACGAGCGACGAAGCTACACGAGCAGGCGGCGAGGGCTGGTGAGCAGGCAGCGAGAACGGGTAAGCGGGCGGCGGGAGCAGTAGGCCACAGCGGCGGGTGGGTGAGAGCGGGCGTAAACGAGAGGGTGAGCGAGCGCGAGAGGATGGACGTGCACAGGAGGGCGAATGGGCAAATCCTCGAGAGGGCGGATGCGCTGGCGTCGCGACGTGGCACTCGCCAAGTCTTTAGCGCTCGAACTGTCGACGACTGCCGGCGCCAGAGTCCTGACCTGACTCCCAAGTCCTATCTCGCCCGCCTACTACTCGCCGCACGCGTCGACCCATCTGCCTACTCGCACGCTGTCTTGACATCCATGAACACTCGCTCGTCTGCACGTCTCCGCGCCATGCGCGTGGTTATCTGACCACTCACTTACCGGACCGTCGTATTCAACTCGCGACTCACCCACGACTGCTACTACCAACCATTTTGGCCGAACCCCACGCATCAAAGCCCCCCCGCCATCTCCTGGTCATACAGAAACGAACACGGAAGGAGGAGATAGCGGATGGGTAGAGCATGAAGCTTGAAGGGCGACTCGGGGAAGAGGGAGATTACAGCGAGCGCAAAGGCTCGAAACCACAGGTGCGCCCCCGTTCGATGTATCTTGGTCTCGCCTGCCCGTTCAATCGCTTGCATGCCCACTCGTTCGCGCCCTCACTCTCTCATCCGCCCGCCTGTTCATCCATCTGGTCTGCCCGCTCATTCGGGTCTTCGCTCGCTCGCCCACTTCTGCCTTGATCCGCGGAAAAGACCGTGCGCGCACGCGCCCTGTGAGCACATCGCATGGTATAGCCGCTTCGTCTTCCAGGGGCTGCTGACCGACGTGCTCGCCGTGCTCCCCGGACGACCACTGTCTGCCAATCCTTGCGCCCCTCTCTGAACATCTGTCCCGCCTCGGTACGCCACCACGTCCCCACATACCGGACGTACCTGGGTCCGACGAGATTCATGCGCGCATCCCTGACATGCTAGATGTACGCTCGCGCCTTCCGGACCTCGAGTTTACCGACATGCACGCCCGCCTCGACGACGTCCGCGCCCACGTCTCTGTTATTGACTTCAGCGCTCGTCACCATGCTCTCTGACTGTCGAGCTCTGCGCGCGGATCGACCGCGTCAACTCCCTCATCTCCTCCGTCCCTCGCACACGACCAGTTGTTCCACACGGTTCGAAGGCCGTATAATGACGAAGACTTTCGAAATCTACTCGGAGCTGAGGTTCGATGCACACTCGTCATTACTGAAAGCCTTGTCCGCGACGGCAACTCTGACTGATTCAACTTCTCCAGCGACCATCGCGCGGTCAAGTCCCTGCACACGACCGTCACCCTTCGCCCTCGACACGACCCCCTCCAACTCGCCGACCAATTCGGGCGCGGCCTCATGGAGCTCGACTAACAAGCCGCTGACAATGCCGAGCTCGACTTCACCTTCAGCGTGCATGCCTCCGCCAGTGCCGTCCCCGACTGCGCCTTCGCCGTCATTGCGAAGGACGAGCTGAAGAGCGTCCGCGCGCGTACCTCTCCTTCACCAAGACGACCGACCAGCCGTCCCTCCCGCCCTAGCTCACGGCCATGTTAGAGTTCGCGGACGTCGCCACGAACCTCAAGCCCCTCGGCGCGCTCGACCTCCCTGCGGTGCTCTCGAACCCATCTCCCTTGAAGTACTTCCGCCTGCTGTCGATCACTGACCAGCCCCACACCGGGCCCTCCCCCAGAGCCAGCGCGACAGCATCTCATCATCGAGCAGACACTTCCCCCACTGTCTGATGTGCTGCTATGCTAACCCTGATCCAAGCCGCCTTCCAGCTCGTCGACGCGATCGCGGGCGAGGGCAAGGACCGGGATACGTGGAGGCCTCGGCGCACAGCTGAGACCCGAGACGAAGAACAACTCGGCGCACAGCTCAGATCCGAGATGACGTGTCTGCGCGCGGCGTCGACTACCCTCACGCGCGTTATCCAGCTCCGGATCCCATCGAGTGCCGAGGCGTATGTGCTGCGTGCACCGTGCAGGCCGCGCCAAGAGTATGATCAGTGGGTGCGTCGAATACTCTCCCTCTCTCGCATCCTAGCATCACATTCCCCTGCTCACACTGGCCTGACACTCCCTCGTTTGTTTGCCCGCCGACTCATTCATTGGCTCACTCGTTGTCCCGCTGTTCTGCCCGTTTGTTCACGTACCCATTCATTTGTTTGCTCATTTGCCTGCTTGCCGATTGAACACTGCTCAAAGGACAGCTAGCCACATGCAAATATATTGTTTCCACCAGCCCCTCACTCGATGTTCGCCTCTGTTGCATACCTGTATACTAAATAGAGCTCGTGTACGAGACATTGATATCATACTCTCCTCATTCCACTTGTGATGTCTATGACCTGGGCCAGTTGTGCCCTGTGAATGGACCACCAGTGATGTTTTAGAAGAAGCTCTGATTTGCATGTTGATCAACATCTTGACAGACATAGCTGTTCAGTAACAGTAGTCATACTTATGTTTCAATGTGCTGAGGATTATGGAGGATTATGAACTATTAGCCAACAAGTATGGCTAACATGAATAAGACCTTCAGAGTATGAACTAAAATATCCATATTATTCTGATTAGTACTAATCATACTCAGTGAGATTGTCATTAGGACAATGAAACTAATTAGAGCTCAGATAGTCAAACTTATGGAATCTGGATTTTCCTGATGAACACAGAATGTCCTTGCCTGTTGCTCATTCGACTTCTGTTTCCAGTACATTCTCAGTGGCTGGGAAGGCTCTATCACCGATGCATCTCTCTTCCATGAGGCCAGGGATATGAGCCTTCCTATGCTGCCAGGGAAATACTATGTCGCGGATGCTGGCCTGCCTTCATGTGCTGGGCTACTGGTGCCGTATCGAGATGTGCGTTATCATCTGGCTGAATGGAAGCGCGCAGACATCCGGTAAGCATGTTTCCTTATTTGGTATGCATGTTCTGACAGAGTGTAGGCCTGCAAACAAGGAAGAGCTCTTCAACCTCAGGCATTCATGCTTACGTAATGTCATCGAGCGGGTCTTTGGTGTACTGAAGCGACAGTTCAAGATCCTCGTCATCGCACCTGAATACGGCATGGATATTCAAGCACGCATTCCTCCAGCTCTGGCAGGCATCCATAATTTCATCCGGAAGCATGACCCGGAGGAGTTTGCCGAGTTCAATGATATTGTGCAGGGTGTCTGGTACGGTGATCTCAGTGATGGACTTCCCACACGGAGGGAACAGGAGGAAGCAAATGACAGACGGGATCATATTGCACAGCAGATGTGGGACGACTACCAGCGGGTATTACGGGAACGTGGCCTCGCCGAACATGATGCAATGTACGTAGAATTAGAGTAAAGTAGGGTCCAATGCAAGCTTCCTCTCCATCCAAAGATCCCGAATCTCGCCCTCGTCCATTGCCAGGTATGTATCAGCAGCAGACGTATCCTTCTCGAAGATTTCAATGAGGCGGACAATCTCACGTGGTGTAAACCTCTCCTTTTGGACTTGTTTGATAGCGATGCGCCGGCGATAAGGTGTGTTCAGCAACGGGTTTGGTGCAGGTACCAGGTCGGGCTCTGGAGCAGGTTCGGGTGCAGGGTTCCGAGCCTGACCCGGAGGCGCACTCAACGCAACAAGACCATCACGGAAGACCTCATTGAACGCTGCGAGTTGTCCCCCGATGCCATCCATGAGGTTGACCATGGACTTTCGGGGCTTCTTGGCACTAGGGCTCGGTGCGCGCGGTGGCGGGTTACGTTTCGCACCACGGGGAGGAGTGGCAGGCCAGGAGTACTCATCTGCACGATCATCATCTGCATCTTCCGCCCCACTCCCTGCACCCACATCACTCCTCGCGCCCGCGCCCACGTCGCTCCTCGCGCCCGCACCCATGTCGCTCCTCGCATCCGCACCTGCGTCACTCCCTGCAGCAGCCTGCACATCCTCATCCTCATCCTTCTCCTCGTCTTCATCTTCGTCCCTTTCCTCATCGTGGTCTTTCTCCCCTTCCTCGTTCTGACGTTGCTGAGATGCTGCAGGATGGAATGCGTGCGTCCCCTTCACCTTGACAGGCATGAGTTCCTTCATGAGGTCGTAGAAGTCCCAGCCTTTGTTTCGGAACCTCTGGGCACCCTTGTTTTTCTATCTATCTGTTAGATACAAGCTTTTTCATAGAGGAAGCACACATGACTCACCTTGCAGAATGTCTGCCAGACTGACTCTGATTTTGCGTCAATGCTCGCGCCTGTCTTCGGGTCCCAATGAAACCCAGACTGTGACATGAGCTTCTCGACAAGCTTATATGTGTCTCGGAGCTGCTGAGCTCTGTCAGCTTCTGAGTATGCATGTACAGCTGGCCACGCACCCGCTTCCACTTTCCCTTGCATGATTTTGCTGTCTTGGCTCCACCGCCAGTCGTCACAGCCTGCACCTTCTGTACAGCATCACTCCAGATCCTATTCGGGAAGTTCACTCCATCTCCGGCTTCCGCCTTGCGGTCAATCAGGTGATGGAGCAGCGCGCGTGTGTCTTCATCCTTCCATTTGGTGTCTTCGGACATGCGGTGAGAAGAGCGAAGGTACGAGCGATGTTAATGCGAGCGGACACGTCGCCTCGACGCGGTACATCGCGCGGGGTCACTGACAGGTCACACAGGTCACACAAGCGTCACAAGCGCCAGCCACTGGAGAGCTCGAGACTCTGCGCGAGACGCGTCCGAGTCTCGCTGGGTTTCGCTCACCGAACGGGGCCTTAAGGTCTGTCGCCGTTGTTAAACGCGTAGACCAGGATATCGCCTGAGAGCGTCATCCGAGGAAACCGAGGCCAATCCACCCTCTTTCCTCCTAACACCCAGAGTGTTAGAGTACTTCTAGGTACTACGAGACTCAACATGCCCTAAAATACACGAAGTCAGAAAGAAAAATGTACCTGACGACCACGCTCACTGGTCCGATGGCCCACCCTACACTGAGCGCCCCTAGACTGAGCTAGCGCTGACCCGTCGGGCACGGCGCCAAAATTAAAGTTCCGGCCACCACCAAAACAACCTCAAACACAAGTGCCACCTGTGGCTGCACCCCTAAAACAAAGAACTCGACTGATATCGTCCGAAAAGAATGGATTGGAACTGAGTCCTCCTCTCTGCGATGCCGCCCTCCCAAGTGCTCCACCCTGGTTGCAAAACTCTCCTTTACCCACTATCATGTTAATGAGCGTCTAAAAAGAAAAATGCATACATCAGTGTCTCCATGATAACGTAACAGCGGATCTTCCCAACCGGCTATAATGTCATAAGTAAACGCTCAGCCCTCTGTTAAAAACTGGCCTCTCATCAGGGGACAAGAATCCCAGATAGCAGCGATGACACCCACCACCCCAACTAAACCTCCGCATCGACGATACAAACACTCCTTGAGATGGCCAAGAATACCAAAGCGCCCTGATCCATGGACCCCCACAGTCCTAGATCTCAATGCGCCAACGCCCTCGCCACCAGCACGTTGCCTCCCCATCCTCCACCCTTCGCACAACGCGTCGAATCCCTTGACGATTGAAGTGGATGGAATCCCTGAACGAAATGGTGCAACCTGGACGTGGACAGTGAAGAAACGCCCACTCTCCCAAATCGAGGCCGGCCAACCGGTCGTGCTCATTACCGGAGGATCACGTTCTGGGACCGGCCTCATCGAAGCAGTATCCGAGCTCCGGAGACACTGGATCACGTGGTCCCTCGCCGGATCACCGGGGATCTACGGGATCAGAGCTCCAACGTCATGGTCGAGACTCGCCGGTCGCGACAGAACAATCCATACAACCCTATACCACCTCTTACCGCCCCTACCACCCCCACACCTCTCTCTCACCTCGAACATGCTCATCCGCGAGAGCAACGAAAGCCCTTACGAATTTGAATCTGACGAGGAAGAGGAGGCAGAACCCTAACCGAGAGGCGGCATGGCAGGCACCGAATACGAGATTCTGAGGAACAATCACCGTAGTCTCGATCACTGTAACTACACGTCCCGCCCGCAGTAAGCTACTACATCCGGTCGATCATATTCGATATAGGGCGCCTCGCCCACTCTCAACACAGCACACGCGCGTAACTAGGAAACATCCCTACAAGTGCCACTGAAACAGTATCCTCAAATCCTATATCACGACGCGCGCCATCCCACGCACCGGGGACGGTAAAAAGAAAGAAGGTAATACGCTGCACTCAATAAGACGGACGGTGAAAGAAATCGTGTACGCACCAATACCTCTCGAGCACATAACTCACCGAGCCCAATCTCGCTACCAATAGCGCCGGAACGAACACGGATCGAGCCAGTGCGACGCGAACGGTCGAAAGGCCGAAGCTCGCGGCGAAAAATTTAGATCCGCGACCCCTTGCTCGCTAGATCGGACAACTGCACCGCCATACTAACAGATTAGCCGACCCGACATGCGCGCCATCCCTGGACATGGAAGCCCCGAACGTGAGACCAATGTGGCACAAAGGCCCCACAATCCCCGCCGGCAAGAAGCCGCATCCACTTTGGGACACCTGCCAAATATTCATTGCCAATTTCGATTAACAGGTGCTAAACACTCCCAACACCGCAGAACATACCTCGAGGTCAGGGTGCGTACGAAAACCTAAGCCGCCCTCCACCACTCAATCCCAATGATTTCAATGCCTTACACACTCCCAACTCACTCACCCCGAGAAAAAACGATAAACTCGGAAATCCACGCCAACTCTTCCTAAACAGAGAATCATAGACCTAGCCACCTACCAAAATCTGGCCGCACCCGCCTGTCCGCCATGTCGTACGCCCGATGACAAGCGCGAGAAGAAAATCACACAAAATTGAAATCCACGACTGCTACAACGCGAGCTGGAAACTCACGTCCATCAGAACGAACGCAAACGACAACGCACAGCCCGGTGCAGTGGACCCATCAACAGCTCTTACCTCATCCTTGGCCATGAGGATAAAAGGAGGCCTGAGGCTGCGCTATCCACATCCAATAGATATCTTGCTATCCTCTGTCTCCTGCCCAGCATGAACCAGAACAAATCCGCCTCCAACGATGGGACCGATTCGCCTCCTCGTCTCGTCAGGACTAGTTCGCCGCCCGGCAGACGCCAGACATCTCTCCCTGCCCGCTCCCCGCCCTCGCGCCTCACTGGAGCCAGCTCCGCCGCCTCTCCTGCCGGTAACCCCTGGGTCTCCCCCGAGCGATCTCCCCCGTGGAACGCACTGGGCTCTCTTACGCTGCTATGGCGGCAAGGCCTCTGTCACCTTCGCTCCCGGCCCCGAACCAAGTGCCGGCTACCGCCTGCGACAACCTCGAGACCGAGAACGCCACCACCGCCACTGCAGTCGATGCGAATTCCGCAAAGGATGACAATGGGCCCGCGTCAGTAGAAGTAGCAGCAGTTGAGGGAGGCAACGACGAAGAGGTCGTCGTTAAAAGTAAGCAGACTCATCTTTACAAAGCGCTCCCATCCCTGACTCCTACCGCAAGCCGAAGAAGCGGAGACCATGCTAGACACCTCCCGCACGAGGTCCGGAAAGAAATTGACGGCCTCTAAACAGAAAGCCAAAAAGCAGAGGGCCAAAAAGAGCGCGGCGGTAACCGGTAAGGCGAAACTGTCGGTGGGCAAAGGACACCCGGCTGCCACCTCCTCTACAGCCGCCACCTCCGCCGCCATCGTGCCAGCGCCCGAGGCCGCAGACCCACCGACGACCACGACACGGGCGGTCAGCGACACGCGCAAGCGCCGCCGTGTCTCTACCGACGTAGACGGGACAACAGCGCAGACCAGCACCATACCTCGCATCCAGGACCCAGTCGTCGCTCCAACACTCCCTGTGACACCCACCCAACGCGCCGGCGCTGCGGTGATCTCGATCTCGTCTTCGCCGATCGTTGATGACCTCCACGACCCACCAGCGGCTACGACGTCCGACATGGAGATGGACGACGTCGTCATGCTCGAAGGCGACGAAATCCCGCTCTCCACGGGGCAAATCCGTATGTTCTATGGCTTGCACCCTACCTACACCGCTGATGAGTACCGTCCGCGTCCCATCTTCGCTGCACCGGGATGTCTATCAGGACCTGGCGTCCCCGGTGCACAACCACCGCGCGTGCGTCAAGCTCCGGGTGCAACCTATATGGTCCAACGCTTTCTGGAGGAGCAATCGCAGCAGGAGACGAGTCCGTACGTCTTGGTCCGCGAGGACTTCGCAGGAGGAAACATTGAGGGTACGTCGCACGACGATGCACCACCTATGACCAATACTAACATACGGACATCTAACAAGACTTATACACTCCGGCGACATCCCCCCGTCTCGCCTACGCCAAAATACCGGTTGGACCGCCTCCCTCTCGGGAACCGTCAGCTGCGTTCAACCTCAGCGCCGACATGAACCCCTTCCTCGGCAGACAGGGAGACCCGCTCTCCCCAGCACTCTACACGCCCAAGGTTCACAACGCGCCTCTCTCCTCTCTTGATAAAGGAAAGGCCCCGCAACGTAATGCGACGGCCGGACCGTCGAACGCATCCCGAGACGTCGATCCCGCTACGTACCAGCGCCCTCCTCCTATCGTCCCGCCCACTTTTTCCCACCCACACCCGGTACACTACGCTCCTGGCCCTTTCCCTAACTTCCCACCTGCACCTGTCACGCCTATTTTCCCCACTGAGCCTACCATACATCACTTCCTTCCCATCCCGCCCACTGAGCCCGCTATTCCCGCCGAACCCGCCTTCCCGACAGGTCCTATCGCACCGCTTCCACAGGCGCACGGTTTCTCCGCCCCAGGTGCGATGACGCGGCCCCCGCCTGGCGGATGGCTACCGCTCCAAGGCGATGACTTCTTCTGGCCTTACGGAAACATGGAGCCGAGCCAACTAGCTGTATGGACGACTGATCCCGAGCCATGCGTTCTCCTCCACTTCCTGGGCCGCAGCGGGAACGACCCCGGGAACCACGGACGCGTCACCATGGCGCATACGATCCTCAGGAAAGTCTACGACATCCGATCTGCCTCGATCACGCAGCCCATCGCTGCGAACCCCCAACCTGCACCGAATGCGTACCCAACTTTCTACCGCGTCAGTGACATAACAATTCCGCAGCGCGACGCTCTACTCCGAGACCAGTGGATCTCCACAACGGACGGCACCATCGGCATAATCGCAGCCCCCCATGAGCCTCCTACGTTCATGGGAGGATTCCGCTATCCGGGACGACTGGCGCGCACGTCTTCAAACGAGGACATCGCAAGAGGCTTCCAAGACGGCTTCGAGTCTGAGGACCTCGGGCCATACATCACCGCGCTGTGGTGATTGCGAGTCCCCGGTGCGTGGACGACGCGGAAGGGAATTCTTGGTATCGGTGAAAACGATGGGCGGGGGTCGTTGGTACCAGTTGACGGTTGGCGGAGGAAGCGAGCGAGGTCCGTGGTACCTCGCAGAGGGAAAAGGGAGAATGGGGAGGTGTGCCGCACGCTTCGTCCGCGCTGTCCTTTAGTGAAGACTGCCTTTCCTGAGCCTGGTATACTCGATAGCCTTCCCTCCGACGTTCCTAACCTGAGTTCTCCTCGATCCTGGGCCTGAGCCTAACTTATGCGACCTTCCTTAGCCTGAGCGCGAGCCTGAGACGAGACCTGAAGCCTGAGATTGCCCGGCGCAACCTAGATACTGAGTCCTGAGAGGTAGTGGTAGGTAACTAACTCCCTCCCTCCTTCTGTCCCCCTTTCTAAGTCTCCTCCCGCCACCGTTTTCCCACGTCCTACCCTCGCTGGCACCCGTTCCTCTCCTCTCCCGTTCCTTCCGCACCCGCCGCGTCTCCTTCCGACCCCTCGCCGTACCCCCTCTCCAACTCCTTCCGCTCCCTCCGCCTCCTTCCGACGCCTCGCTATACCCTTCTCCAGCTCCTTCCGCCCCCTCCGCCTAGCTCTCAGTGTTTCCCCACCGTCTGCGATGCCTGCCGATGCTCCCCCGAACCCGTCCACCATCGTCTTCACCACCCGGTTCTACCGCCTCATCGATCTTCTCCGCGACGAACGTGTTGTCGAGCCTCGCCTGAACCCCGATAGCGACCACGAATGGCTTGCCTGGGCCCATGGAGCTCGGTGGTTAATCGTGCGTCTTTTCCTTCGTCCTTCGTCCTGATCCCCCTCTAAGCCGTCCCCCCCGCAGCGAATGCTCTTCGACTCTCGTTCCCGTGCGGTTGCCCACGGCGACGCTTCCCTTCCGCTCGTCCGCCGCTATCCCGACGTGCAGGAGCTGATCGAGTACCTCGACCAAGTCTTCCTCACTCTTCCGTCGCAGCATAGCTACGTGGGCGAACCCTTCCCTTTGATCGCCTGGGCCCCAAATCGGGTCACCGCTGAGCAGGCCGACGCAGAGATTGGTCGTCCCCTCCTTCCGGTTCGCTACTTGGAGCGTCCCTTACAGCTCTCGTCCTACCGCGCTTCGTCCGACAGCCTCGACAGCCTCCTTACTCGGTTCCAGGGCCTCCTAGACGAGTGCCGCACCGCTAACCGCGACGCTCGTTCCGAAGCTGTTCGTATCGCCCGGGGCTTGAATACGGTTGAGGGCGGCGTCCGCGACTTGCACGCCCGCCTGTCGGAGGGAGTCTACGTCCCAGACAGCTACTCCGGGGTACCTCGCCGCCTGCGGTTCGCGCCTGTTAGGGATGTCGATGATCTGGAGGAAGGAGAGGTTGAGGACGCCATGGGGGAGGAGCCTGTTGTCCATGTACTGTAGCCGTCTTCCTCCCGCGTGTTCTTATATTGGTTGTCCTTCCGCCGAGTCGTCCTTCCGCCAATGGATGTCGCTTCGCTCCGCATTACCTGGGCCTGAGTGCGTGTGTCGTTCCGGGCTCGTACCGCTGTTCCCATGTGGGCCTGCCCCACATCTACCCCCACCTTGAAATTTTGACCGTCCCCGGTCAGACTCCCCTCCTTCCCGATATGGTACTCCTCCGCCGCCTTCAGGATCGTCCCAAGTCTTGAGCGATCGGTGATCGATCACGGCCTTCTGCTCGCCTTGCTTCTCTGGCGCTTCGTCCAGCGCGTTGATTGGCCGGGATAGTCTCTTGATCGGGGAATCTTCTTCCGATCAGTGTGGCTGGGCCTCGTCTCCCCGCATATAAGGCTCGCCGCGCTCCTGCTCCTTCGTGCTCCTTCCTCCTCCCTCCTATCTCCTGTCACACATGTCTCGTCCTTCCCCGTCTCCTTCCGCCACTCTGGACTTCACCGCCGGTCTCCCCGACGAGGACTATCCAGTCCGCCTCGCCGCCTCCGCTGAACTGGTCTCCCTTGAGGCGCGAATCAGCGTTGTCGCCGCTCGAGAGCCGACCATGGGCCGCCATCCGTCGCACGCGCAGGCGGGCGCGTGGTTGATCTGGGGTCGCCAGTTATGTTACGCCTGGGTGAGTACCTCCGATGCCTCTCTCCCCGTCCTCCACGCTCACAGGTCCTTCCAGGCCGTGTACGACGTGCACCTCGACTACGTCCTCACCAACGGGCTGTTCGAGACGCGTTTGCGTCCCGAAACCGAGGCCGCTTTGGACGCCTTCTGGGAGCGGCTGGACGGCTTCGCCAGCCAGCCCTCCCGGTACCAGGGTTCCCTCCAGACCCTCCGGCAGGAGGCCCAACTGCGTGGCCGCCGGTACGGCTCGACTGGCTACTGGGCCGGCACCACCTTCGAGCTCTCCCCCGCCGTCCTCGCCACATCCCGTCGTCCCGCCTCTCGCGCTCCGTCCCCGTCGCCCGTGCCCCGTCCGTCCCCGCCCCCTGCCGTCGCTGCACACCTGTCTCCCGTCCCAGAGCCGGCCGGATCGCCCTCCGCCCATCTCCCGCCTCCGTCTCCCATAGAGTACGACGACCCGGTCCCCGAGCCCGCCGCTGACGACGAGCTCGTTCCCTCGTCCCTCGTCCCTCCCGCGGCCTCTGAGGAGGTTTCGGTGCCTGAGCCTCGGCTTTCCGTGGCCGGCCCGTTCGGTTTTCCGTTCCCCGAGCCGTCCTCCTCCTCCGGCGGTCGCTATGCTCGCGCCTCGTCCCTCTCGTTCACCGACCGAGACCCTTCCGTTCCGCCTCCCGCCTTCTCCATCCGCACCCCGCCGCCCGCGTCTTCGCCTTCCCTCGACCTGCGGGACCCCTCCGTCCCTCCTCCCGCTCCGTCCGCGTCTCCGCGGCCGCCCGGCTCCTCCCCTCTGTTCACTGAACGAGGCGCTTCGGCCCCTCCTCTTCCTCTTTTTGCGCCATCCCCGTCTCCGCCTGTTGCGCCTTCCATCCCCTCTCCGCCACCCGGTCCTCCTCGCGGAACTGCACTGTCACGGGCCCCGCCGACTCCGCCGCCCATCGATACGATTGAGGACGACAGTCCGGCCCGATCCATGTCGCCTCGTGCGCTGGAGGAGGCGATTTTCGCCAGCAATATTGGCACCCGACTGTACCGCCCGACCCAGCCGTCCTCCCCTCCCGACCCTCGTCCGTCTCGTCCGATGCCCCGCCGCGTTCACCTCAAGCTTCCGAACCGTGGAGCCGTTCCCGACGTCTCACCCTCCCCGACCATTGTCCTTCCGTCCCCCGCCCTCCCCGACAAATTCCCTCCGGTCCCGCAGCGCACCTCTAACGCCGAGCGCCCTCGGTATGGGCCGTTCGTCTATTCACCGACTACCCCCTGCCCCGAGTGCCGTCGGAACGGCTTCCGCTGCCGCATTGATGCCCTTCCGTGCCATGCGTGTGCCGCGTGTAGTTCGCGGAAGAAAAGGTGCGTGTTCAGCGCCTTCAGTGAGTTCCCGGTCTTCTTCCGCCTCTGCCTCCTGCTCACTCATCCCCTTGCTTTCCAGAAGAGGGAGCTCCAAGCTTCTTCTACATTGGCCACCATCCCGACCTTCCTCGATCCGCCCTTGACTCGTATGACTGGGTCACTGCCCCCGGGGGCACCCTCGTCGGTCCCCGCCCCTCGGACGTCCGATCTGACTTCCCGTTCCGCGGTGCTCCCGCGCCGCCTCCTCAGCCTCCCGCTCCTTCCCCATCCCTCGAGCCGGTCGCTGGTCCCTCGCGGCCTCCCCCGGTTCGTTCGGTCGCACCCGCCGCCCCACCTCGCCTCCGGACTGTCCAGGATCGGCTTGATTGGATGGCCAGCCGATCTGGAGAACTCCAGCAGTTCTTCCACCGCCCCGGTATGCTTGGTGCCCCCGAAGTCCCCGATCCGGAGGACGAACACGATGAGCTCGACGAAGATGTAGAGATGGAGGGTCCCGAGAAGCCCGAGCCGGAATGTGAGTCGGAGGAGGGTCAGTAGGTAGTCGTTTCCCCGTAGTGAATTGCTCGTTCCGATGTACTTGCCTCCGTGCGGTACCGCGCGTGTACAATGTATCTCCCCTTTGCCTCCGCGAGCCCTGCCTACCCTCCCGGTCCTCGGATTACCCGCCTGACAAGCTCCCCCGGCACGCGTCCTTCTTCCCCGTTCGACCGCGAATGGGGCCTCCGTTGATCCCCAATCACCTCAAGGCTTCCGCCCCGTGCGCCTAGTTAGTTGATCTCATTGATTTCGAGTGATGCCGACGCCTCGCGCCTACTGATCCTCCTCCCTCGCCTTCCATCGCTCATTCGTATTCCCACTATCCCCATCGATCTGTCCCTGCCTCGGGTGCACTACCCGCTCCCCCGTTACTGCCTCGTTCTTAAGTTCCCCTCCAGGCCGTCACGCCTCCCCGCATTGTTTTCCCCTTCGCCCGTTCCCATGAGTGGCCTTCGGACTCGCATTCCTCCCGCCGCTCGCCGTCCCTCCAGCGTCGGGCACCGTCCCTTCTTCGACCCCGACGAGATTCCCCTTCCGTTCCCCCCATCGCCCTCACCCGTCGACCCTTCCGCGCCCGTCCCGATCTCCACCCTTCCTATCGAGGAGCGCCTTACCCGTCTTGAGGCTTCTTCCGCCCGGCAGATCCGCCAACAGGAGCGCATCTGGGACGAGTTCGTCGAGTTCCGCCGCACCGTTAACACGATGCTCGAGAGTCACGCCAGGGATATCGATCGCGGAGACACACGCATCGCGATCCAAGTTAACGGACTCCTTGATTTGTTCCTGGAGCACCGGAGGAACTACGAGTCCTTCCTTAACACCCAGCGACGCCTCGAGATCCGCGCCGGCTTCGATTGTGGCACCGTTGACCGTCGACTCGACACCCTCGCCGAGAAGGTCCGCGCCCTGGAGGCCTTCCGGGGTTATATCCGATCCCGTCTCGACACTATCCAAAACGATTCCTCCGTCCAGGCCGCCCTCGACGTCATCGAGACCCAGCTCTCATACGTTCTTGAGCATATCCGCTC